ACTGTTGTGTGTATATTAAAAACGTATTTGTGTTAAAAAAGAAAATTGTGTATCAATCTTGTTGGCAAATATTACAAACTGACTATATATAGGCTTTTACTTAACTACTAGATCCAAAGTACAATTTAACTACTAAATTAAAATTATCAGCTAACTCAATTTCAGGCTATTTGAAATTCTAATACGCAACATTGGTTTGACTACAATGAGTTGTTTTTATTGACTTAGATAATTAATTGCTTTATTTCCTTCGTCAGATATGTCAAAGATATGTCGAAGCCAAATCTCAAAATTTCTGTTGAGGCATTATCAAAACTTCTGATATTTTGATTGTATACAGATATGTTTTTAAATTATCTTAAAACAACATTCGAAACTTAGGAAGCAATTATACTAGCCTATTTTCTTAGGCGAATAATTGGCTATCATTGGCTAATAGTTTCTTCTCTACTTCAGAAAAATTATAATTAGACAAGGTATGTATTAATTTATCAGGATCTGCAAAGAAAGTTTCAATAGTGCCATTTCTTCTCCTGAAGTTATTAAGCCTCTTTAATGTGTACATCTAATTTTGCTAGACGAGTCGTTATTGGCTATCTCTATATAGGATTTATAATGTCGAAAATCAAGATATAATATTAACTTTTGAAATTGAACGATAAGAGAAATATTTTTTTTAGGTTTTTGTTCAATCGAGATTTATATTAAATTTAATTATTTAAAAAAGCTTAAAATGAAATTAGACTAACTGGTTGTAATTGTGGTATATTATATGGCTTATTGAAGATCCATAAGAACAGTTGCTCTGTTAGACCACTAGTTTCAAATATAAGGGTAGTTATTCATTAATTTGCTGCTTTTTGCTGTTGTTTTAGAGCAAAACTACATAATGAGCTATATACGCTTTGTTCACCGCGGAGAATCGAGCCCCGGACTTTAGCATCCATAAATTTATCTCTGATCCATCAGAGGACTGCTGATTTTCTACTTTCATCTTTACAACCATTTTTAAAGAATGAATAAACAGTTAAAATCAGTTTTCGTTTCTCTAAACAATTGAGAACCCTGAAGTTTGATTAACATGTATACTGTGCCAAGTTTGATTTTGAGTTGCTATAAATAAATTCCTTTACAGGAGGTGATTCAGATAAGTGCAGCTCTGGTGTTTCAATGTTTCAAACCGACAAAATTGTGTCATAATTAACGAAACTAGTTTTTACTAAATTGTTGAAATTGCCAAGGAATCCCATTTCATGACGAACAATGAAATTTATGATCAGATACATGGAGTAACAATGGGTTCAAAGTTGCACCAAGTTTAGCAAGTTTTTACATTATTTTGAAACGCAATGGTTGGAAAACTGTTCTGTGGACTTTAAGTTTACAAAATATCATAGGTATGTGGATGGTGCGATTGATATTTTTAGGGAGAAAGGAACATATTACTCTAATTTTGAAATATTTGAATACACAGTAGCACACCATTACGTTTACACTTGAGGAAAAAATTAAGTTGCCGTTTTTAGACCTTGAAATTAATAATTTCGGCAATCAATCTAAAATTGGCACTCACCTTAAACATACTTTGACATGATCGTTTAATCTTAGTGATAGCTTCGTACCTTTTAGATATAAAAACATTTGATAAATATTTTACTTTACAGATCTTATCACACTACCACTGATTATATTAGAAAATATCAAAAATGTTCTCATAACTTTTTTTCAACTGTTTATAATTAATAGTATTGTAATTTATTTAATAAGCTTTTACAATATATGGGTATACATTGTTATTTGTTAACAAATAAGATTACGAATATCGTTAGATCCTATTTTGTTTGTTATTTTAACCCGTCTTAAGAATTGATTTTTTTTTCAGAATAAAAGATAGAGTTTACAGATCACATTGTTGTGTTTGTTCACCGTTGCCAACAAGATTCTGTTGGCTGGATTACAGGTCATTTAGACCAACGGATAAAGAACATATGCAACCTAATATTTTCAATTGTTTACAAACACCTGGAAACAAATTGTAAAGGAACTACAAGTGAAGAAGACTTCAAGATTCTTTTCAGTGTGAATAATGAAGAATATCTGTGCATTAAAGAAACTATGCATCAAAATATTGTAACTAAAATTGAATAATAAAGATGAAGATGAAAGCGTTTTTATTCGCTATAATTATTGAAACTTACTTTCTATGTGTGTGTTTTTTCAAATGTATTATACTTGTTTTTTAAATATTAAATGTTTAGAAAATATAATATAATTTGGAATTTATGTAGTACGTAGTCTTTCGTTTTTAGTTACGCTTAAGATTAAATTTTCCTATATAGAATCATCCCACGTCTCACTAAGTATATTTAAACATTTCATGAAAAAGTGAAAACACTCTTTTCTACATTTTACAACTAATGATTTAACGATAGTAAATGAGGCCTGAAGATCATATAGCACATCTCTGTAATAAAAACAGTTGTGAAATTAGAATTCCACAAGACGTAATCCAAGTTTATAACTAATAGAAAGTTACGCTGAATATTTAATATTTTCAAGTTTAATAAAGCAGCACCAGGATCATCGCCGAGGAGGGGATGCGAACAAACAAACCCTCTTGTGGACCACGAATAAACATTAATTCCGTAAGCCGCCATATCTACTTGTAGTTTAACAGCGAAAACGATACCCTTAGCCTAACCACAAGGCATTCAAACGTACTGCATGGCCAGTGGTCTCGTTTTTCAGTACAATGTGAATGGGCAAGTACAGTACTGACCATGCAAACAACACGCTGTATAATCACGTTCTGGTGAGAATTAAAAACATCACTTATATCTTCATTTACGTTGAGACAGCTAAATACTCTTCAAAATTCTGTGGTTCTGTATTGCAATCTACATACTCCAAGCCAGTTCAATACGGTACGATGAAGGCAGTATGTGTATCTTATATTATATAATGAGGTGCGAAATAGTTATTAAGAAGGGATTTTTCCTACGTATAACTGTGTCGCACATAACTTCAATTAATTAACGAGTAGATATACTATTCAGTTTATTCTTAAAACTCGCATGAATATGTATTTCAAGTTCTTGTCATAACATGTGCAATTCTTCGTGTATATATATATATATATATATACATACCTAAGAAAAATGCACCATTAACAGAAACAAATACCTCTAAGAAAATCCATGAACAAAGACTGTATTAAAATGTAAAATTATTTTTCTTTGTTTAAACATCCCATGATGCCTCTGTATGCTGGGAATTTGTCAAACCATCTTATGGAGATTTCCAGCAGTCTTCAGTGCAGATATCATCATACAAAATGTTCCTTTTTTACGCTTCGCCTTCTTTCAAATGAACTTCGGTTAGCCTTATTCGATTTTAAACATTCTCATTGATAAATGCTGATATCAATCAATAAGAAGAGGCTTTTGAATTTCAATGCTTGAAAGATATAATCGCGGGAACACATCAGCTAAGTCACTACACAGGTCATCTAATAATAACATCTGGAGAACACATCAGCTAAGTCACTACACAGGTCATCTAATAATAACATCTGGAGAACACATCAGTTAAATCACTACACAGGTCTCCTGATTCTTTACATCGAAGTAACACATCAACTAAGTCACTACAGAAGTCACCTTACAATCTTAACATCGGGAGAACACATCAGCTAAGTCACTACACAGGTCTCCTGATTTTTTACGTCGAAGTAACACATCATCTAAGTCACTACACAGGTCACCTAACAATTTTAACATCGGGAGAACACATCAGCTAAGTCACTACACAGGTCTCCTGATTCTTTGCATCGAAGTAACACATCATCTAAGTCGCTACACAGATCAAATAGTATGTTGATTGAATAATCGCGACTGACAGTGGTAACAAACGTTGTATGTTTAGAAAGACACTCAATATGAAGTCCTTATGTAATTTAGAACTAGTTCCTATTTCAAACAATACAGTCATGCGTTTCATAAATTTAATGTTCTAAATATAAAAAATTTAATATAATTTAGTTTAAAACAACCTCATGAATCCAGTTTCTGTAGCTCCCTACTCGTGTGTAGACACCTGGCATGTTAGGTCTTCCACACCCTATTCCAAAAGAAACAATACCTATTTGGTACCAGTGTCCCTTTTCCTCGCAGCTGAGAGGTCCTCCTCCGTCACCCTATAAAGAAATATTATAAAAATTCATATATCAAGCTATATACATTGTTTCTCAGTTTTCCATGTGCCAAACTAGAATCATTGTTTCGTTGGTTTTTCAAATGCCAAGCTAAAGACATTGTTTTACTGACTTTCCATATGTCAAACTAAAAACACTGTTTCACTTAGCTTTCATGTGCCAAATCAGAGGCACCGTTTCGTTGGTTTTTCATATGCTAAGCTACAAACATTGCTTTACTGGCATTTTCAATAACCATTGCCTATTCTAAGGTAAAAAGTCCCGAAATTCCTGTACTCAAGTAACTTGTCTAGAACAAGAATAATCAATATTTCTGAGCAAGACTATTTACGACCTTCGTGATCAAAAATTATAAAACTGTCGTAAAAAAGAATTAACAGATGCTCACGGAAAAATTTGCAAACTTTCTGAAGCAATGGCTGTTAAACTACCGTGATTAAGATTTGTAAGACTGTCATGAACCACAATACTCCAGTTCTTCAGTACTTAACTGTCTTGAAATACAATTAACAAACTGTCGTGACAAAAGTATGAGAAGAAAATAACATATTTATCAATCTTTGTTTTTTGTTTGTGCAAGAATTATTTATCTCTTGTAGTTGAGCCTTATTAATACTTGTAATTTGTTTTACAAATAGAATGTTAAGCCCTTCTGGGCATAGTTTGTGAATCCATAACGTTTCTTTGGTTCAATGTTTCTTCCTCCTGCCCAAAATTTTGGTATTCTAGAAAGCGCTTCTAGTGAAAAAATCGTACTATTTTCTTTTGTAAGTTCATTAAACATATATAATGAACAACATTTAAGCCTAATTTTGAAACTCTTTTTTTTTTAAGAATGATAAGTAAATTGTTAATGAATTTGTGTTAATATTCGAGAGGTATTCAAAACTTACATAGTAATATTACACTAAATTATCAAGAGCAGTAATGTCTGGTAATAGGTAATGTATCAAACGATTATTCATTGAGCATTTAATGCTGAAAATATAAGAACTTTCACGGGCTAGATGTTTCATTTCTGGAAAACAAACTTCACAAATGCTGTTTATACACGTTCTGTAATGAAAACTGAGACTTTTTTTTTCAGATTAATGTAGAGAACAAATTTTAGGTTTGATATTATAATTATTATTCACCTGACTTTTGTTTATTTATTTTGTTCTTTTAAATCTATTAAAGAGATTAAGACTACTTACTGTGCCTATGACGAATAATTTTAGCCGAAACAAAAGTGAAGAAGAAATAACCAGAATCAATTCTTTAAATCAGTCGTTACACTCCGTAACATAGCTTGGTAATCTCTTTTGCTTGGCTCTTTCTGCTTAGTAAAATTACTTAATTATAAACTTATGTTACTCTGCATGTTGAAGAATACTCGTATATCTTTTTTTTTATGTTATTTCACTAGACGTTTTCTTAGAAAGTATATTTGGTTAAAAGCAGGTTTTACCTCAATTATCCTTGTTACTGATATAAACACTTGTTATCTTGTAGTTAAAATCAAGGAATAACATAGACTCGACAAATATAACATTCAAACATCGACAAATATACAAGGAAAATTCGTGCGACATATTATGTGAAGAAGTATTTATATTTAGATAATGTTTGAAATGAACTGGAACAACACAGACACGTGATGACATGTAACAAAATCTGTTATAATCTGACAGTTACAATCATACAGTGGTTCATTATGATACCTTTTGAGAACTTAATGAATATAAAGATAGTTCAGGAAGTCCTTGTTTTGCCTCCTGTATAATTATTGAATATTAAAAATAATAATAACTTCTTTTCTATTCCTCAAATTGAACTCTCTGAAGTAGATTTAATCTTAATATGTTTGTGTTATACTTATAAGCAAAGAAATCATAATATCACAATGGTGTCAAGACAACACCTTAGTAACATAAGTAACACATATATTTCCATATAATACATTATATAGAACGATTATAAGGAACATTTCTTATCTAAAATTATTCTATCTTAAGAATACTTGTTATAGAAGTAAATACTTTCATCAAAAGCACATAGAGAATCAAGTTTTATTAAAAAGATGAACAGGTTAGAGGGTGTTGCAACATTTCAGACGTAAAAATACTGTTTAGATAAATCGCTTTCCTTGCAAAGTAACATAGTTCTTATTTCTCTTCTCGCTCTTTCAAAGATACGAGATTGGAGATTTGAATAAAACATGTGTCAGTGTGCTGAATATTGAGAAACATTGTCTAGAATAAATTATGTAGTTTATTTTGGGGATACGCCTGATGTACTGGTTGAGAGAAACGGATAGCATATGGAAGTCTTTCCATGACAGGTTTTGAAAACCCTGTACCATATTCAAACTGACTAAAACCTCATTGGATAGGTACGTTTTTAAGATACAGTCATTTTGAATATGGGATTTCTTGTATAGTCATCCTGATTGACGTTGGTAGGTGTTATGAATTGCCTTAAGTCCAATCCATTCTTTTATTCTGTGCTTTAGTTTGAACTTCTTGTATGCTCTTGTGAGGAGAACCATTAATATAAAACTACGATACGTTTATGTCAATAGCTCCATTTAAAAGTAAAAACCAAGAACACCGAGAAAAATAATTATTGGTCAACTTACGTCACAAGCGTCCCTTCCCTCTGTACCAGCACATATTGTTGTATTGGGTAAGGTAAAATTTGGTCCAAACTGTTTCCTCAACGCTCGCTCGCAGTCTTTGTGTTTCCATACTGGAACGTTTATCTCTTTCAACAGAAGAGAATGGTCAGAATCTAAAAAAAAATAAGGAATCCACTAATATGATTTATACAGCTTGACTGAATTCTGAGGTACAAAACCACTGTTATATTCAGGACAAATGAAAAAACAAATTCACGATGAAGTTATTCTTTTATTGTGGAAGAAATTGTAACAAACGATACGTATAGCACCTATTTTGGTATTAAAATAAAGAACGGAATTAACCTTACTTGTCTAGTAATGAATGGGCATTTTTCAAAGAATGTCTACTCTGTACTCATACAATATAGAGTCTTGTGGGAGATTTCTGATAATGCACTAATTGTAGAACACGAAGGCAAACAAATGTAGTTACAACGTTATAAGATTTATGAAGAAATGCTTAAACCCACTGATAGGTTAATACTCATCGTTTTGGTCAATAAAGAGAGTTTGATCGTTTATTTCATTGATACATAGCGTAATATTTTTGTTATTTATGCAAAAATGTCCTTGTGATGTATATAACATAAAACATTATTTTGAGGTATAGTGTGCATGTAAAATATTCTATGATGTATAGTATATTCTACTTGACATACATAACAAAGTTTCTACATGTTATCTATCATGAACAAATCTGTCACGTATCATGCGAATCGTTACATTTGTCACGTATTACTAGATAATCTATTTCGTGTACAATAAACAGTTGTTAGGGTCATAAATTATTAGAAGTTCTTAATGTTTTATAAATTGCACATTCTTTCTCTAAATTATTATAACGAATTGCATGGCTTTACTTGGAAATAGGAAAACGTAAGTTATTAAATCATTTTCAGCACGATTTTTCTATTGAATTAGTAGCTACGATTAAAATTCCTTTTCAATCCATATTGAAATGAGTGCACCAAGAACAACAAAGCAATGTGTTTTGTTTTCCAGAAATGTTATTCTTATAATTTTATCCCATACAATTGCCGTTTTGTCTTAGCAATTCGAACATAACTTTCTACGAAAAGAAATTCATTAACAAAACAGGTTCTTTCACTCAAACAACAAAACAGTATCGATAAACTTTAAACAGTTCCGGATTATTGAGAAAACATGATAATTTCCTTACCTTCTTTTCTTTTTCCCCATCCAGTAATAAAACATCTGGTGTTACTCAGAAGTTTCTCATCTGAAAAGTTCCTGTCTGGCATACAGACAGTGTTAATATTAAGCTTCTTTTTGGCTGGTTTGACCAATCGAATCAAGGCAATATCGTGAGTCAAGGATGCATTATCAAACTGTGGGTATATGACTATCTTTTCCACATCGAATTCCTCATGCAGCAAAGGTTCGTTTGTGGTGGACACGTCGTACTCTCCAAGTCGTACCTTTAAGCGACTTGTCGTCCGACTTAAAGGGAAAAATTAGTAAATGAAATCAACCATTTTATTTCCCAAGGACACCTTCAGCTGATAAACACAAATATAGAACACACACCCCTTCTATGGTCTTTGCTAATCTTGTTAACAGTATGGGTCGTTTGTTGATTTATCGTACTAATTTCACAAATTATGTTAATTATTGTAGAGTAATCTAAGCTTGATAGATTATTGAATAATCCTATACGTTATTACTCTTGAAATATTAACATAAATAGGCATCATTACTCCGTCACTTATAGTTGATAAATACCAGTGCATGTACAATATCATACGTCATATTTAGATTTCGAAATGAACAGAAACTAAAGCTCAAATTTTCCTGGTCATTAAGTAGTGTAACGATAAGCTCGAGTGTTTGTTTAACACTAAAAGTCTGTGATCGATCCCTGCGGGGAAGTAGTGGGAAGATAACCTATCGTGCAACAAACAATTTTATCTGTTCTTTTAAATTTGTTGTGTTTTTCTATCACGATAGAAATTTAGTATAGTTATTGTTCTCTTTAAACATTTCCTGCTGAAAATTAAAATAATATTTGCAATAAAAAGTTCAACAAATGAATAAACAGTTGGAATATAGTAGATAAAACAATTAATGTTGCTCACAAAGAGACATTCCCTCTGATATGAGTCAAAACCAGTTTCCTCTAGTTTTCCATGCTTATGACATATATTGAGCTGACCAAAATTACACACGGAAAATAAACAAGTCAAAACCGTGAAATATATATCTATTTTCTCACTTTACAAAGTTTTCAAATTATGAAAAAAAAAAAGGTGAAACAGTTCAATGCGATGGAAAAAATATGTATTTATATCTACTGCTAAGTGAGACGTGGTGTACTTACTTCTTAATATATATATATTCATTTATAGATTCAGACATTTATATATTGCTTTCTTAAATTGCACGTAAAATTATGGTTAGCAGAAATGAGAGCTATGAAACATAGGCTCTGAGACGAAAAGTGTTACGCACCTCTACTCAAAATTACAACACCAAATTTCATTCCAAAATCATATAACGCTTGGAGACAGCTTGAATGGGTAATGAAGAAAACTATAATATAAGTTTAACATAACAGCAAATGTTCAACGTTTCGACAAGGTTTTGTCTCCAAGCATTATTATTTTCAAAGTGGGTTCCTCGTGATCGAATTCTAAAATCATGTTTTATTTTATCAGTGGTTGTTTTCTTCTCGAGCAAGAAATTTCAGCGATTGAATAATTTTCTATGTGGAAATCATCTAAAAGAAAACATCTGTTATCAAGTAATCTCGTTCATATAACGATAATGATGAAATGAGAACAATGGCCATTCTCATCATCTGTCGAATACAAGTGTTTGGTATATCAGAATAATAGATTAATTATATGAAAGATGAAATCAGCACGCATTTCGTAAAAAATATCATCATATATAAAGAAATAAATCTGAGATTTATAAAGCTTACTAATTATCAACACAATGAGCTGCAGTTAGAACCCAGTATTCGTCCAGTAATGATGCTCCGCAAACATACACGTCACGGGGTTTTTCCAGTAAAGCAGCCTATAAATAATAAATAGGAAATATCTATGTACTGTGAATAAGAATTTCACTTTTTCAAAGTATAAAAATCACTGATAGGAAAAAGACATATACCGTTTACAAAACAACTGAGGCTCACAACGTGTTAAAAAAAAAAAGTGTGATAATATTATATATATATGTGTGTGTGTGTGTGTGTACTGTTATACAAAATTAAAACTAAATATATATTAATACATGTTATGCTTTGTTAAGTATACACAGATTCAAATAAACTACATCCATACGATGTGTATTTATACATCTCAATACTCCTTAAAACGTTTTTTAATCTTGCAAATGACTTTCATCTTCATAAATAGAATCGTTTCACCTCCATGAACCTAACCATAGGATCTTTCAGAAATTATTAATTTGTCAAACTTATCAACGCCTAATTTGATTTTTAACAGTTCTGTGCTGTATTATATACCTTAGATGAAAAATGCTAAAAGAAATATGCACACTAAGACGATTTAATACGTGCCTTTGAAGCTATAATAGCAAAGTTATTTTGTAAGAAGGTTGTTTCTGATATGCGTAGGGATGTAGTTATTTTGATTCAAAGATTCGTAAAAATTTAAAAACCTGACACATATATAAAATGGTATAACATTTTGTAAATCACGCGCTTTATTCACTCTAACATGACTCGGGACTCACACAAGTTTTTAACACCTTTTATTGTGGTACATAATTTTTCTTTTCGACAGTAGTTTTTATATAAGATACAGAAGAAGTTGTTGGAAAGTTTTTTCGACAATGTTGAATATCAAAGAAAAGAGAGAAAAATTCCCAGAAATATCAATACCGAAAATGTAGAAGATTCAAAGAACTAGATTCCAGACTATCCCCTTGAACTTAATATTATCACAATTTTATCACATAAAGTGTTACTATTGTGGAAAATGTACACATTAATTACTCATACTTACATGCCAAGACCATTCTCCAGGCTCTGCAAACCCTTCTCGGCCATTGTCAACCCCCTTTTCCCCACAGTTAGCTACTTTGTTAGGCCTAGGTAAAATCCCCACCATCTCCGCGTTAGGGTCGATGAAACAGCATATCTTATTGCTATGAGCGCAGTAGGAATAAGGCTTACCCCCGGCACTTATACACTGCCAGTATTCCACGCAGGTACATTGAAAGCTATTTATATTTCCTACAATAGTAATATAACAACATATTATAGTCAAGAAATTTTGAAAGTAATTATAAAACACGCTTATAGTAAAATTCGCACAACTACTACCTAAACTAATATACACAGCACTACCTAACAGTAACATATGATGCAAACCACTAACTGAAACTCAATACGCCAAAAATAAAATGCTGCCTAAAATAAAAATACATCGTTATCTAATATAAGAGACATATTTCTACCTACACTAAAATAAAAATACATATATATATATATATGTATAAGAGACATACTTCTACCTACACTAGTATATATGTATATATGTGTATATATATATATATATGTATGAGACATACTTCTACCTACACTAAGTTACATATCACTAACAAAAATCACCGCTTAAAACCAAAATTTAAAATGAAGACTAACAATGTTAGTTTAACACTTCTACCTAAAATAATAACACATCCCTGTTTAAACTAAGATACACATTGCTACCATAAGAGGGACACAAGCTAATACCTAAAGTAAATATATACTTTGCTATATACATAGTCATGTATATATATATATATATATTACTCCCTGGGGTACCACTGTGTAAATAGATACATTGTCCTATCTAAAGTAACGTACATCTAGTATTATACAAAGTAAGATATGACATAAAGTAAAGCCCCATGTCTACTCAATTGAGATACATTCCACAACCCAAAGTCGAAATAAAGACTTTCAATATGCACCTAAAATGTTTTTATTTTTTCAAAACGACAAAATGCTTCTGTTTAACAAAATATTAATCTACCTATTTATCTTACTACACTTCATAACATTTTCACCCTTTCTTACAAAAAGTTTCAAAACTCAAGTATTTTCGAATATCGGTACTAATTATTTAAAATTTCTATTGAGATAGAAGTGGTTTACAACCAGTCCTTTTGCACACAGACTGAAAGTATATCAAACTGAAATTGCATAAAACTGTTATTACTACTAAATTTAAACTGCATTATGCAAACATCTTTTTTTTTCTATTCCTGTAAACTCCCAGTGGAGCATAGGGCCGCAACAACACCTCACCAACGGAAGGTGTTGTTGTAGTTACTTGTAGCATGTTGGTTTTTACGGGGTGGAGTTGTTAGCCCCGCGCCCAACCCTCCTCCTTTCTCATCCTGGCAAAGGCTGACATGTTTGTTGTGACGGGGATTCGAACCCGCGACCCTCAGATTACGAGTCGAGCGCCCTAACCACCTGGCCATGCCGGGCCTATGCAAACATCTTAGCTGTTATATATTTTTCTTATCACTTGTACCTACCTTATCTTACATTTTATAAAACTTAATATTCAGTCTTGCTTAAAATTCGTATCTCAAATATAAATTACAACTTAATTAAACTCCGTTTTCAACTGTCATCTTGGATGTAGGCCAAATAAATTTTTACGTACATGATTTATATAACACTAATACGAAAATTATACATTGGACTTCGGACAAAATGGTGTGTGCTCAAATGAATGCTTTACAAACAGACAAATGGATATCGAATACTTAATAAAAATATTCACGTTTCACTAAAGAATACACGACTAATGAAATAATTAAATATTTTGAATTTCATGGTTAACAAGTTCTATTTGAGGAGAGCGTATGTTACGTTGAACAAAGTATTTAAAATTTTAACTAAATTTCAAATCCTTTAAATTGAACCTTTAAAACTATATGACAATAAAATTTCAAACTAATATATTTTTACGAACACTAAATATATGGCAAACATTTCAATGGAGTTAAGACAAAAACCAGGATGAAAATTTAGACTTTAACTAGTTTTTAATGAACATATTGACTTAGTTATTGACATTAATAATTCAAAGGATAAAAAGAAGAATTAACGTAATTTAGATATATTCGAAGTCTTTACCTCTGTTCTTTTTGTCTCCTTGTGCAGATAACAAAGTAGCTATGGATAAAGTCGTCAGGAAAAGCAGCAGACAGTAGTAAGCCATGTTTCGGTAAGCCACCTATCGGCAGAATAGTTATCTGGGAAAACATATATTAATAAATTTGGATGAATATTTTTAGTTATAATTTGATGCTAATTCCCAAAGGAAATTAAAACACTTTTTACGTGGTGATATCAAATGTACGTCTTTTCTTAATTTTAATTTTGTTGAATCATTACAAACAATTGAATGGTTGTGTGTTTGCACACCTTTAAGTTCGGTAAGTATTCTCAAAGATGAATTAATCACAGATTTAGAAATTATATCAAGAGGATATAAGTACCTTATTAACTCAAGGTGGCTAGTTCTACAGAAGCACATAAAAGTAAAAGTGAAAAAGAATGCATACCATTCCAAATTCTTAGTAAAGCACATAGCATACAAACCTTGCCCCGTCCCTGACCATAACTTCTTACGTCACAAGGAACCTTGATTGGAGCGTGTCAAGGTAAGTTGGTGGGACGTCTCACTTCTAAGCAAACCTTACTTGGGAAAACCTGTAAGAAAAGTAAAAAAACTTCGTGTACGTAAACACAAACTGGAAGCCTAACAGATAGAATAACCTACTACTCGAATCTTTTTCCCCTATTTTTTTACTACTTATTAATATCAACTTTTGATTAGCTACCCTGTTTAAATTAAAGCTAAAAATCAAACTGGTACTGTCTATAGCTAATAAATATACATTTCTTACTGATAAGTATTAGAACACACTATCTCATCACTTGGATACCTTCGTTCCAAAGCAAACCACAAGAATAAAAACCCTATAAAAAAACCACAAACAAAAAAATTCAGAACACTAGTTACTTAAGTTCTACTCAACTGCAATTAGTAGAGAGGTGTAGTTAAAATCTATACAGGAAGGTTAGAGGTTCCAAAACGTGCTGTCATGTATTAATTATTTCGGTTTCAGGTCGATCGCTACCAGACATGTGAGCTTGTTTATAACTCTCTCATAGCTGATTATAAGATGTGGACTTACTTACATCAACTATTAAACATATATAACTTAATAATATATATATGTTCTTGTGCACATACATTTTTATAAAGTAACTTATCATGATTTTGTTGACATCATCCATTATTCATAAATTATCATTACATGTGTAAATTAACGCAGACATTAATTATTGTACATATAACTTAATAATGCATATTTTCATACTGATATTAAATGTTACACATGACTTACATGGAAGTTATATTTGCTCATGTTCGCGTATTGCATATGTATATATATTATTTTCAACATATATAATATATATATTATATATATATTGCAGCATAATTTCCATTGCAAGAGGCTCTGGCATAAGGTTATCGTATCCAAAGCACACCACGAGGCCGTCTTTCTTGGCGCAGGTTTCAGTAATTCGATCGCAAAGAAATCCATAAACACTGTGTCTGACCAGTATATCTTCGCATAAAGTGGCATAATTACCAGTTTAATTATCCAGCTATTTGGGACATGCGACGGTTAAACGGATATGTCGTGGAAGTAACTGAAAGTCTTATCTTGGTGAACCCATACCTTATTGTACCCATTTCCAGACGGAGATCCTTCTTGATTATATTGTGTACTGTTGCCTGGGGCAAATTGCCAGCATTTGCCACTGTCCCTTATGTTCGTAGATACTCACCTGCTACAAGACGCCACACTTTGTTTACTACAGATAGGGTACGACTTGTTGCGGGTTCCTTTCTCGATTGTCCTCGTGTCTTAAGTTGATTCATATTCCTTTGTTTTCTAATGATATTAAGTAAAGGAATATTTCCGTCTTCGAAATACTAAAATGACGATCTGAAAATGTTTTCATGATTTGAGCATATAAAAGTTTTACATTGGAAAAGGCTCTTACATATCCTTCCCGAAAGCGATCATTTTTAGGTGGCATCACACTACCAACTAAATGCCAAATAATGGCAAAATGTAGTAGTGATACATGCCGTTCCACTGCGACTTTATATCGGTTGTAGGTGTCACGTGACATGCTGATTTACATATTCAAAATCGTTATAATATAACGTACTCAACCTTACATTACATAAGTATTAATTGTTTTCTTATCGACATCAGCTATAACAAATAATTCAATATTGCTTATAATGTACTTTTTTGAAACCAACTGCTATATATGTGTGTGTATATATATATATATATGCATATCAATGTTAAGTTAATATAACAGTTAATGTCAACACTTATCAATATTATATATGCAGGTTTGATCATATCTATTGATCTTCACATCAAATGAAGAAAACAAAACTCTAAATGTATGAGTTATATGATCGTTATAATCAGCTGAAAAGGTTTGAATATCCAACGAAGTCGAATCAATTCTTGTGGAAACTTTAACCACAGACAACGTTATGAAAATCTCAGTAAAATTTATGAAGTTTGTCTAAATTGTAAATTTTCAGAAAGAAAGAAAGGACATCATTTTTAAGTTACCAGAAAGAAATAAAGAAGCAAAGGACATCGTCTTTAATTTATCAGAAAGCAAGGGTATCGTCTTTAAATTACTAGAAAGAAAGGAAGAGTATCGTATATAAATTACCAGAAAGAAATAAAGAAACAAAGGACATCGTCTTTAATTTATCAGAAAGCAAGGGTATCGTCTTTAAATTACTAGAAAGAAAGGAAGAGTATCGTATATAAATTACCAGAAAGAAATAAAGAAACAAAGGACATCGTCTTTAATTTATCAGAAAGCAAGGGTATCGTCTTTAAATTACTAGAAAGAAAGGAAGAGTATCGTATATAAATTACCGGAAAGAAATAAAGAAACAAAGGACATCGTCTTTAATTTATCAGAAAGCAAGGGTATCGTCTTTAAATTACTAGAAAGAAAGGAAGAGTATCGTATATAAATTACCAGAAAGAAAGGAAAGGCGTTGTTTTTAAAATATCAGAAAGATAGGAAAGGCGTTGTTTAAAATACCAGAAAGATAGGAAAGGCATTGTGTTTAAAATACCAGAAAGATAGGAAAGGCATTGTGTTTAAAATACCAGAAAGATGGGAAAGGCATTGTGTTTAAAATACCAGAAAGATAGGAAAGGCATTGTGTTTAAAATACCAGAAAGATAGGAAAGGCATTGTCTTTAAAATACCAGAAAGATAGGAAAGGCGTAGTCTTTAATATACCAGAAAGATAAGAAAGCCATCGTCTTTAAATTATCAGAAAGAAAAGAAGGCACCGTCTTTAAATTATCAGAAAGGAAAGCATCATAACTTTAAATTATCAGAAAGGAAGGCATCATAACTAAATTATCAGAAAGAAAGAAAGGGCGTTGTCTTTCATTGATTGCTTGAACATACAGGTTTACCTCATCTGATCGTTGAAAAAAAGAAATTATTTCTTGATCTTATTCAAAATGCGACATAAGACTAAAAATTGATTGCAGCCAGAATTTTTAAAAAGCCGGAAGTGGGTTGTAGTTCAAATATATAAAGCATAAAGTGGCATCTCTGATAAGCATCTAGACTATTGTTGTATTCTCCTAATGATATATGTTAATAGAAAAAACCAGAAAACAAAATTTGAAGACCAAAGTGTGAAGGAGAACAACTTAGAATTCTCTTGCAACAAGCTAATTAACCTGTACCAACGACTTACTACTCTCACGATTTCATTCATGAATTTTCTATCATACATTTTGCAAGTTAATAAACGCCCAGAGGGCTGAGGAGTGTAAAATCCTGCAGTGCTATATGTTTATGACATCAATTGACGTCATACTTCCGGCATTCCTAAAAGTCTCTTGGCACGCTATAATCACTTAAAGGTAAGGACGATTGACGGCCTTAATTTACATGATGGTTAAGTTACGTAAAAATGTTCAATAGACGGAAGATTTTCTCGAAAATAATCTTATGTAAAAATATATTAATAATTCGCTGACAGATCAACTTATATCTGTACTGGCAAAGATAATCGTGTTTAATCTGGTCTATCGTAACGGATATTACTGATTAACGATCTTTGAAATAAAAATAAAATATTTCTTGATCTGTGTTATATAATATTAAAACATATGCTATGTGGTGAGTGGTGTTGAATAGCTGTTTCTTTTACTCTGTCACTGCTAAATTAGGGAAGGCTAGCGCAGATAGCCCTCGCATAGCTTTTTGCGAAATTCAAACCAAACCATAATCTGTTCTCCAGTAATGTTTATTTCCAAAACTGATACTCAGAAACTGCGCTCTAATAATATTTACTTCAGAAGACTGATACACATAATCTGTACTCCAGTAATATTTAATTCCCAAAGACTGGTAAACATCATCTGCATTCCAGTAATATTTATTGCCAGAACTGATACTTATAATACGGAATCCAGTATTTTTTAATTTTTAAGACTGATACTCATAATCTCTACTCCAATCATTATTTCCAAGACAAATGCGCATAATCCGTACTCCAGAAACCTCTACTTTAAATACTGATGATATTTAATTTGTACTCTTGAAACTATATTTACACAATGTTTTCTATCGGACCTCATAACATAAATAATGTGCACTCCCGCATCTGATCTTATATGAATATTTCTTGAACTAAAAATATGTTTACTCTACATACTTTTAATATGCCTCGCTGCCATTCGGCATGTTCTACGTTTACCTTTATCTGCCTCTAAACCAAGCTCAGTGTGTTTTGTAGTTTTAGTTTTCAAATTACCGCTTGACACTAGGAACTAGTCTGACTATTTGGTTTTAATTACTGTAAATAAATAAATAAATGGACGGTTATATCTATTGTCTTTGATTCTAGTTTTGTCTTCCGTAACAGTTTTGAATACAAAATGATTTTATTCGTGATTAAAAAAAAACTAGAAAACTTATAAACTTTTTTTTACTGTCAAGGAAAACGTCACTCACTCAGAAGTGTTACCAAGAGGATTGTTCTAACGGACTGTCCATTATCAGCAGCTTCCATCATCCATAGGCTACTCAGATTTTTTTGTTACATTTACATAATTTCTTGGAAATCTTTTTAAGAAAGTATTCATTCGATTGTTTCTTTAAAACCGATTTTAATTTTTAACAGAATAAATAAAAAAATGACAGATTTCTTAAAACCAATTAGACTAAGAATTAGCTAAAGTAAAAAGATTTTGCTTATAATAAGGTAAAGGCGTTGAGTTTTAGCATAGATTATGCTTCAGCGTTGTTACTCAGTGTCACTGAATGTAGAACAAATATCGTTTTCACCGTTAATAGAAAGGAGAAAACACATTTTTGGAACAAACTATAATATTTGAAAAGACTTGTATAGGAATACTGCTTTCGACACATGCATGTGCTCTCTTCAGTCCAACTTTATCTTTAAAGATCCAACTGCTGACAACTAGTTATCATTCATTGAATCAGTAATCCATGTATGGACAGACATATACATTTATTACTGGCTTAATCAAAACTTCCCTAATAACAGTTGTTGTTTTTTGTTTTTGAAACATAACAACTTAAAGGAGCCCTAGGGTTTGAAGTAACAATAATGATAAGTTTGTGTCAGACATTTTTGTCTAGAAAAGTGTTGAGTCAGTTTATGTTAAGTTTTAATTTTGTCTAGAAAAGTGTTGAGTCAGTTTATGTTAAGTTTTAAATAAAGATATTCCTATCTATTCGTCAAAATCTCATTCTGTGCAAATATTGAAAACAAAAAACTTGAAATTACATTTTCTTTCATCCGAATGAGGTTTTTGTTTGTGAATGTCTTATGAGCAGAATATCAAAATTGAACCATCTGAACAGTACCTGTAAGAGTTTAATCTATTATATCAATATACAGTGAGCTAAGAAACGTAGTGTTCTGAATACCTTCAGTACTTGGCTACCTCCTGCTATGTGAAAATCTTCGCTATTTGTTGGTAAAGTCTCACTCGTTATATCCCACTAAACATGTGGCAAAGTTCACTCATATTCTGTTTAGTAGCTTTTAAATTCATAAGTTTTCCTTTCTCTTTCATGTATGTACAAACCAGTTTATTGCAGAACAAGTGTCAAAAGGAAGATCTAAGCCATGTAAGCCAAACGTCTGACGTCTAGTTATCCTTCCGAATGAAAACATTTTAAACTCAGTAGCAAATCGAGATATTTTTCCAAAATAATTGGACACCGGTAGTAATAAAAACTTTTATGATGATGTTCCTAATAGTTTTTTTTTCTAATTAATAACTATATTATTGTATTTAGAAACGATAGCGTTCGAACACCAAAAAATATTATCCAACAATTGTCGACCAGAAGCTGTAAACGACCTCTAAAAGCTTTGTTCAAAGTAGACAAGCCTGGTCTTGCCACAGTTTGGACTAGTACGTTGAAGAGCAATATTCTGTTTGGTCTTCGCTGTCTTTCGTCTCTGAACCTAGTCTCATTTCGATTTGTTTCAATTTATAAGTTATCGAATGTCCGTGTTAATAAATGGAAAGCGATATTTATTGTGACCTATTTTAAAACTCATTTTTAATGAAAATTTCGGACAAACTTTACGTCACAGATTTCTGTTTTGTTTCTTATATTTTTATTCTATCCTGTCTTAACATTTAGTGGTAAGTCTGGATGCTTATAATGTTAAAAATCGGATTTCAGCACAGATAGTCCATTGAGCAGCTTTGTACATAACTACAAACAAACAAACACAACATTTTCACAAACTTCTTGAATAATGTTCATACGTAAACTTTCCTTTTACCGTATGTTCATAAACTCGGCTATAACATCTAA